CGATTCCTTAGAAAGTTGGAATTGGAGATACCATTTGACCCAGCAATCCCATTACTAGGTATATATCCTAGAGAGGTGAGAGCCAGGATAGGAACAGATACATGCATGCTCATGTTCATCATAGCTATTTACAATAGCAAAAAGATGGAAACAACCTACGAGCCCATCAGCGGAAGAGTGGATGGCCAGACTATGGTATATATACATACTGGAATGCTATGCAGCACTAAAGAATAAGGTTGAGTCTGCAAAACACCGCATAATATGGATGAACTTGGAGGACATTATGCTGAGTGAAATAAGTCAGTCACAGAAGGACAAATATAGTATTAGTTCACTGTTGTGGAGGGTCAAGGAAAGGTTTATATATGGAGGGAAACTTTCTTTGTTGGTTGCCAGGGGTGGGAGGGGAGGGGAGAGAACACAGAAAAAAATAAATAAATAAAAAATGCATCGACCCACTCAATCATAAAACTCCATCACATCAAAAAAAAGAAAGAAAGAAAGACCAGGCTTTACTGGTTGGCTAGAGACTGATGAAATTCCTGAGATTATGGCCCTCAGTCACCCATTGGACCTGGAATTGTACTGATCCCTGTGGCTCAATTTTCAGCCAAACAATAGACAGGTCTAGAAGGTGAACTCTAGGGAGGGACCCGCTCCTTAGACAATCAACCATTTGAGATCAAAAGGACAGCATTTACCAAGGACAAAGGACAAAGTTCAGGAGGCAGAAAGGGTTAGGAAAGAAGGAAGAATGGGAATGGGAAACCCAAGGAGGTAGTAGGATGAGTGATGCTACATTGAAGGGGTTGTAATCAATGACATAAAGCAAAATGTGTTTGAATTGTTGAATGGAAAACTGATGTGCTCTATAAACCGAAATCACAAGGATAAAAAAAACCTATGTAATTTCTGTGCAGGTTGTCATGGCCCCCACTTTGGCAAACACTGATGGCCTTCCCCAAAAAGTTTTGTTCAGTTGCTTTGTTTGTAGATAATTAACACTTTGGCAAAGGATTGAAAGAGAAAAGGCAGAACATTAATTCTTAAGTTTAGTAAACTTCCAGACAATTAATAGAGATTGGTTACATGCTGGAAAATGAAGTGTTCATCCATATATATTATGAATTGGACAAAATATAAATTATGTTCAGAAGATTTAATATTTCTCTGGAATGGAATAAATTCAATGGCTGAATGAAAGGCAACAGACAAACTACCACCTGAAGTTGTGACTAAGATAACAATATCTCAATCACCCATCTTAAAAGGAAGTTTGGACCAAGAACATAATAGGACCACTATATTTAAAAATAAATACCAGAAGGGATTAAATTCAATCACATTTGAAAAATAGCTCTTACCACTCTATATAAACCCAGAAAGAGGTGTGGAGGTCCAAGGTGGCCTAATATTTTCATAAATGACTTGAAAGATGGAGTGGGAATTATGCAAATTATACCACAGAGGATACAAAAATGGCAGGGATTGCAAATTGGTAGAGAAGGAAATTTAACTACTGAGCAATGCCTTTATATTTGTCTTTATTTAATCTTGTATACTGAAGTCACATATTATTGCATCTCTTTATTGAGATTCAATAGGGCCAAATGCAGAGTGAATTATGGAAGAAGGAATAATCAAATTAGTAGAAAAGAGCATATACCTGGAGAGGCATTTACGTCAGGGTGGAGACGCTGCCCAGTCTGATGGGGTGGCCAAATATTTCAATTTCTATTCTCTACAGATATGGGAGTGTTAAAAGCTGATGTATAAAATAAACAAGGAAATATGTCTGACTATTTGAGTCACTTGGCCTTGATGGGAGTGTTGTGCTTCAATGCAGAGCTGGAAGCCAACTCCAAGCTGGGAGGCATAGCGATTATGGGTACCGCCCTAGGTTAACCAAGAATGCAAGGGGATGCCAAGAGGACCCCCAGAATAGACAAAATGCTGATGTGCCTATTTGTTGGGGGGAGATGCATAGAAGGCAAGTGGGCCTGGAGGAGAGAAAAATTTCAGCTCATATTAAGGGAAAACAATCATTCAAAGCACAGCTGGAATCATGGAAGAAAGGGCAGCTTATGGTAACACCATCCCTGGGGACATTCAAGGAGGTGACCAGACACCTCTCTACTTAGGATGCATTAGAGATTATTAAAAGCATTCCTGGCCCAGTTTGGGGGAGTGAGAGGGGGGTTGTGACCTCTCCAAAGGTCATTTCTATCCCAAAGGATCACATGTCTGAAGGGCACCAGATAAAAATAAAGTCTATTAATCACAGAGCTGCCACACAATTTCCTAAGAGAGCCAGAACAGAGAAGGGCAATCTGCAGTGGACCTTGCCTTGCCGAGGGAGGAAAAGGGAGGCAGCGCATGTGCAGGCAGAGCCAAGAAAGCAGCTACAGAGACTTCCAGAAAGCCCCAATCAGGTCTGCAATGAGTCCGCCCAAGCAGTACAGGGTAAACACACGGAGGAAGAGACCATGTGGCGAGGGGGCCAGGAAAGAGCAAATGGCATTGAGAGTCCCTAAACAAAGCCACAGGAGCTTGGGGGAGGGTGTGATTTAAGCACTTTCCCAGAAAGTGGGGAATCAAGCAAGAGAGGCACACCCACCCAGGGGGTTTCATGGAAATAATACATGAAGAGGCAGAAGGAGACAGAGGGTGAAGAGAGGAATGAGGAGGTGGGTGAGGCAAGAGACAAAGGCACACAGGGTGTGTTTGGGAATAGATGGGATTATTATTGGCTGGAAATTCAATGAAAACTGTAGGGAGAGAGCAAAAAATAATCCCACTATCTGTGGTAGCAGAACCCCACTCTCTATGGTCATATGATGAAAACAAACTTCTTAACAGAGGAATAGGGTGTCAATGCCCCAGTTCCAAAGCCGCTCTTGGCTTTCTCACTAGATGGACTGCTCTAAGCAGATGGAACTGAGGGTCTGAGGACTCTTCCCAGCCCACAGCCCCAGCACCCTAGCTTCCCAAGGGCTAGTCTGCGTGGGCTTTTATGTGTCAGGACAAAACTGAACCCACCCAGGAAGCAAGACCCGGAGGAGGCAGGCCCGTTGGCCATCAGATCCCGTGCCCTGCTCCCTGTTCATTTTGGAACAGAATTGCTTCAGAGTGGGGATGTTACCTGCCAGAGTCGTCTCAGGAATGTCATCTGCACGGTGTATTAAGCAGCCAAATGGGGGCCATGGAGTTTGAGTTCTTCTAGCAAAATGTTCTGGATCCAACCAGCTGTCACCCCACCAGGCACAGAACAACTTTTTGAAATCAAAAGAGGCCAGTAAAGAGAAAGAAAAAAGGCATCACCCCCGGCTCACTCCCTGTGTCCCCATCTCCCCTGATCCTCTCCCTGTCTTCACAGAGAATCTGCAAACACTAGCAAGATGGGGGGATGGGGCAGGAGGGCAACCAGGGTGCCAGCTTTCAGCCTCAGCTGCCCCCCAGCCATTCTCACTGCAGCCCCTCCTCTCCAAAGGCAGGGTCTGCGTCCTCAGAGAGAAGATGACTAAGGAAGATCGCCAGGGAGTGTGGTGTGAGGGCCACCATGGCATCACAGATGGTGCCCGATATGGTGAGAAGACAACTAGGGCAAGGGTTTTAACCCACCACCCAGTGCTCTGGCAGGTGAGGAGGATAGAAGCACTCTCGAGGCTGACAGCCATCCTTCCTAAAGCAGACAGCTTCTTGAGGTCCACCCACCTCCACTTGCCCTAGAACCAGCCATCTGCTAGTGGCTCCTCTCCCTCAGCCCTTTCTGGCTCTGTTTGCCGATTCTGAGCCTGGGAGCCAGGCAGCCACTTGTCAAAAAGATGTTTCTGAAGCAAGCAAGAAAGGCTGGAAATGGATCAAGGGGCATTTATTAAACTAAGACATCGTCAGAGAAAGATTCGTAACTTGCCCTACCTAGGAAAGGAGAGAGGAAATTAAAGGAAAACAAATGAAAAGTCACAAGAGCCAAGCACCTTTGTTGGAGGTTGTTGAGTTATGCTTTTGTTTCTAACTCTCTGAAACAGAGAGAAATAGGGGATGAAGCTTGAAGGAGACAGAGTGAATGAGAGAGGAGGAAAGGAGACTGCGCTGCTAGAGATAGGTGAGAGGCATTAAAGGCTAGGGAGGCTGCTTCTTGCTTCCCCTTCTTCCAGTAATGCCCCAGGGCCCGGAGCAGCAGAAAGAGGAGGCGATGACTGCAGTGAAGGTGACAGGTGTGCAAGCCAAGGGTGCTGGCCCAAGGAGGCAGCAGCAAGTGAGTCTGAGGTTGCCCAGGCCAACTCTGACTCTGTGGGCAGCCAGCCGAGGAAGCTCAGGGGAGGTTGGGGCTGAGAGGAGGCAAAGGAAGGAAGGTGGGATTGGCTAGTACTTACTGTCACAGACGTAAGGTTTGTCGTGGTCTTCCTGAGAGGCAGCGTCGTGCCTCCTTCTGCCACCCGCAGAGCCTCGAGCCTGGGGAGACACATTGAGGATATCAGGATGCATGTTACTGAGCATGTGCTATGTAAGGCCTTGAACACTTTCCTTGTATCACTTCATCTGATGTTCAAAACAACACAAGTATCTATATTAACCCCATTTCACAGACAAGGAAACTGAGGCTCTGAGAAATTAGATAACTTGCCCCAAATCACTCAGCTACTCACCTGCATTGTCTCATTAAATCTTCACAACTCCAAGAGGAAAGTACTATTGTTGTTACTAGGTGCATTGAGTCGGTTCTGACTCATAGTGATCCTATGTAAAAAAGAACAAAACACTGCCTGGTCCCATACCATCCTCACTATTGTTGCTATGTTTGAGCCCATTGTCACAGCCAGTGCATCAATCCATCTCATACTGAGGGTCTTATTTTTCGCTGACCCCTACTTTACCAAGCATGATATCCTTCTCCAGGGACTGGTCCCTCCTAATAATATGGCCAAAGTACGTGAGGTGAAGTCTCACCATCTTTACTGCTAAGGAGCATTCTGGCTGTATTTATTCCTTCTTCTGGCAGTCCAGGGTACATTCAATATTCTTCTGCAACAACATAATTCAAAGGCACTAATTCTTCTGTCTTCTTTATTCAGTGTCCAGCTTTCAAATGCATATGAAGCAATTGAAAATACCATGGCTTGAGTCAGGTGTACTTTGTCCCTAAAGTGATATCTTTGCTTTCTAATATTTTAAAGAGGTCTTTTGCAGTAGATTCACCCAATGTAATACGTTGTTTGATTTCTTCACTGCTGCTTCCATGGGTATTGATTGTGGATCCAAGTAAAATGAAATCCTTGACAACTTCAATCTTTCTACACATATCATATCACAATGTTGCTTATTGGTCCAGTTGTATGGATTTTTGTTTTCTTTATGTTGAAGTAATCCATAACGAAGGCTGTAATCTTTGGTCTTCATCAATAAATACTTCAAGTCTTCGCTTTCAGCAAACAAAATTGCGTCATCTGCATACCTCAGGCTGTTAATGGCTCTTCCTCCAATCCTGATACTGCACTCTTCTTCATATAGTCCAGCTTTTCAGATTATTTGTTCAACACAGACTGAAGATGTATGGTGAAAGGATATAATTCCAGCACACACTTTTCCTGATTTTAAACCATGTATATCCCCTTTTTCTGTTCAAACAATTGCCTCTTGGTCTAGGTACAGGTTCCACATGAGCACAGTTAACTGTTCTGGAATTCCCATCCTGCACAATGTTGTCCATAATTTGTTATAATCCACACAATCACATTCCTTTGCATAGTCAACAAAACACAGGTAAACATCTTTCTGGTATTCTCTGCTTTCAACTAAGATCCATCTGACATTAGCAATGATATCACACATTCGTCCTTTTCTGAAATTGGCTTGAATTTCTGGCAGTTCCCTATCAATGTACTGCTGCAACTGTTTTTGAATTATGTTCTGCAAAATTTTACTTACCTGTCATATTAATGATACAGTTTAACAATTTCTGCATTCTGTTGGATCACCTTTCTTTGGAATGGGCACAAATACAGATCTCTTCCAGTCAATTGGCCAGCTAGCTGTCTTCCAAATTTCTTGGCATAGATGAGTGAGCACTTCCAGACTAGTGAGGTACTATTATTACCTCCAAATCACAGATCAGGAAACTGAGGCAACAGAGAGGTTAAGTAGATGGCCTGAGGTCACTCAGTTAATGAGTGCAGAGCCAGGATAAAAAATTCAGGACCGTCTGACTGAAAAGCCCTTTTCTATGGAATTCCCATAAACTGCTGTTTTGCTAAGAATCTCTTCCTCCAACTCCTGAGACTTCTAGCTTCGTTAATACAGAAAGAAGATGCCAACTCTACTGTCACAGATACTAGGCCTATTAGGAACAAGTCCTGATGGGGCAAGAAGGTAACTGCAGTCATAGTCCCAGGATCCCATGCCCACAACCTCCGCACCACCACCAAATGTCCCAAGCGGCCAGCCAGGCCTAGCATTCAAGCCCAAGGCATGAGCCTGGGATCCAGGAGAACCCCCAGCCCTACCCTGGCTAAATCTGCTCTCACTCACTCACTCACTGCCTTCGAGTGGGATCCAACTCATAGCGACCCCTCCTTGGGTTTCCAAGGCAGTATCTCTATGGAAGTAGATTGCCCAATCTTCCTTCCGAGAAGGGGTTGGTGGGTTTGAACCACCAGCCTTCTGGGTAGCAGTCAAGTTCCTTAGGCACTATGCCACCAGAGCTCCTAAATCTACTCTAGGGGGTGGGATTTAGCTGTGGCCTCCCTTTGTGGTCTCCCTTGGGCCTCCAGCCTATAACAGAAACCTTGTACCTCACTTTCCCCTGGGGCTGGACTCCTGATACCACCAACCTGCAGGCAGCTCCAGAAAGTGTCAGCATGACCTGGGAGGGGAAGGCAGGGGGTGGACTCTACCTTTCAGAATAAAAGAGACCAGCCAGAGAGAGAGCTGGCAGCTATGCAGCCCTGGGACAGTGGCCGTAAGAACTCGGCAAGGTTTATTTTTAAATCTTTATAAGTCCTCCGTTGGTCACATAGGTAACACCCTAGCCTCCTCCAGGCCAGTCTCTGGTGATGAGCAGCAGTAAACTCCCAAGAAATAACAGGGACTGCTGAGGTCTTTGGAAACAGAGAACAAGGGGCAGCAGAAGAAAAATAAAACACAGCAGCAGGCTGAGGCGGAAGGGAAATGGGGTAGTTTCAGGGACCTGTCTAGAAAAGTAGCCTGGGGGACTTCACATGGCCTATACTTTGGGATTGAGGTGCTCACATACACACTCACACACACTAACATACACACACACATATATTCTCTCACACACACACACACACTTTGCTCTCACACACTCACTGGAGACACAGTGGACATGACCTATCACCGGGATTGGAAATGCTTATACATACATACACACATATACACACATTCACTGGGGACTTTGTAGTGGAAAGGCCTATACTCCAGGTCTGAGGTGCTTACACACACACACCCATACACATTCATGACACAAGCACATACTCACACCCACACTCACACACACACACTCAAATGTATCCATGTACACTCACACACACTCACTGGGGACTTGCAAGCGGAAAGACCTATACCCTAGGTCTGCAATGTTCACACAGTCACACAAAACACAAACATACACACATCACAATCAACACCACCTGCCAAGCTACCACCTCTGCCACCTCCTCAGCTTGTCTCTCTTCAAAACAAATTACAAAAATCCCATCTCCCTCCCTCCCTCCCTCCTACTGGTCTTTCCTTCTTTCTGCCTCCTACCACCCACCCCCTGCACAAACTGACAAGTGGCACCCTCCTCCCTTCGCCCTCATTACTCAGGCTTGACCCAAAGAGGGAGCTGTGAGGCACTGGCAGTCACCCTGAGGCACTGACAGGCCTCCCTGCCTGCCCACAGTGAGGTGGTCACCCTCAGCCGCCCTCCCCCAACCCCTGCCTCAGTGAAGCCAGGGACAGCTTGACATGTGCAGCCTGCAGCCCTGTCACAGCAGCCTCTGAGCAGGTGAAAGCAAGTCAAGCAGAATGACGGAGGCAATGGCAGACTCGGGGAAGGGGCTCTGTCTGTGAGAGACTAAAAATACCACAGGGGAAAAGAGGAGGAGTCACGCAGAGCTGAAAGTACGCAGGCTTCTAGGGGAGCAGCCAGGGAGGAGAAGAGGGACCTGCTGACACTCAGGGTTTAATTTCACTCTGCAAGGCTGACCAGCATGGCAACTCTTTACTCCCCATGCTCCCTGAGACTCAGTTTCCTCAGATGCAAAATGGGGGGGGGGTGCTATAGGGCATTGGAAGGAGCCAGGCAAAGGATTCTTCCTGTGGCAGTAGCATTCTTAGACTCCAAGAACATCTCAGACTTAGAAATTCAGAATCCTACTCTTCTTACTCAAATGTCACCACCTCCTCAGAGAAGCCCTCCCTGCTCCACTGCTTAAAATGCCCCTCATACCTTCTCCATTGTTCTCTTCTCCTTATCCTGCTCTGTTTCCTTACAACTTTTAGCATTATCAAACATATTATACATGTACAGTTACATTGTGGTGAACTATGGTCCTTCTAGCCATGGTCTTTGTGACTCCCACCAGATGACTGTGTGGAACTATGCAAATGTGAGGTGCTTGTAGCCCACCAAGGAGATTGGATGGCGTATTAATAAGGTAAATACAACGCAAGGCACCCTTGTTGTGAGGGAACCATGGAAATGAGGTGTATGGAACTTTAATGTGGGAAACTGCTCAGTTTGCCATCTGCTAGGCTTAAAAGGAGCCATCCTACAGGCGGAAACAGGGGAATCTCACTACCATCAAGAACAAGGAATCAGAAGTAGAGCATGATTTTGGACCCGAGATCCCCTCACTGGACCTCCTTAACCCAGGAGACAGAGAGGGAGCTGCAACACTTAGTGGAGACAGAGAGAGACAACGAGAGCAGTGGCAGAGATACTGGAGTGGCAGAGGCAGAACCAAGAGACCTGCACGAGACAGAGCAGTGGGCTTCCTGGTCCACAGAACAAGAAAGCTGAGTACCTTCGGGCAGGAGCCCCACTAATGGAGTGGGGTGCCTCTGAGCATTTATCCATGGAGCTGAAAGAGCTTTGTAACACTTGCCCGGGCAAGGCAGATGCAGGCTGAGGGCTGAGGACCAGAGATCTGCTTTGGGGCACAGCTGAGGGAGGGGAGGTCATCCTCACTGAAGAACTGTATGTATCCTAAGTGTTCCTGATCCTGAATGGTAACCTGTTATTTCCCTAATAAACCTCAAAATTTTGACTACAGTCTGTGAATTCTGGGTGGCCACTGCAATGGATTATGAAACCCAGCAGAAATGTAGAGAGTGTCATGGGAGGGATGGTTGGTGTCAGAGTTGGTGGAAAGCTTGGAGGGTGGTGGCATGTCTGACCTCCACCTCATAGGAACCAGCTTTGTGCTATTGATGCTGATGGCCATCTCTCT